GCAGTCCCTAGTTTCAACTCTATTAAGTCGCATACTTATATACCGCTTACAGTAAATCCTCCAGATTTGATCACCCAAAATTCCAAATCGTGAACACCCACCACACACCCTCCCGGCCAATTGGAATTTCAAATGCTTTCTGTCTCTTGGCGCTGCCTTAATTATCATAAAAAGAAAAGAAAAGAAAACTGACCTAGCTTTGAGGCAGCCATAAATAGACACGGCATTTCTTGCAGGGGTTAAAGGAAGACTAGCCAAGAGAAGGTTTTCCCTTTTGTGCTCTGCAGAACTGGAAAGGCACTGAAGACGGTGAAAAGCCTGGGGACCTGAGGGGGCCTTGTACAGCAAGACCATCTCCGCCCCTGCCAGGCAGAGCCATCTTTCCGATCTGCACAGGGCCTCCACCCCAAGGAAGGCCCTGGCTGTGTCTGCCCTGCTGCCTACCCAGCTCAGAGACTCTTCCGTCTGCCTGAAGTCCCACAGCGGGTCACCACGGGATTCTGGAATATTGGAGCCAGAGGACCTGAAAATCACCCAGCCCGACTCACTGACCTCAGAGGTGAGAATCCGAGGGCCGAGGCAAGGGGAGGTGGCCCAGATGCAAGGTGGGCAAGAGCTGGGCCTGCCCCAGGGTGCCCCTACCCCCACGCTCCCTGGGCTGTGTCCCAGGAAGGGACATCCCTGCCGCCACTGCGCCGCCCTGGGACCGTCCTCGGCCCAGGCCCCGACCCTCAGGATCCCGCCCTGAGCCGAGGCCAGTCCTGGGCCTGCCGGCCCCACGCTCCTTCCCACCCAGCCACCGCTCAAAGCTGCCGCCAGGGCCTTCCTCGCGTTCCTCTGCCGCCGGGTGAGTTCCATGTCTTGCGACACATCGGAGAAATCTCCCTGAGATCCAGGAGGAAGACTTGCTGGGAATGGAAACGGACCTGATACACTGATTCATCTTGTGTGACTCGCCCCACGAGCACTTCCCACGGCCCTGAGTGCTGCAAAGCATGTGCTGGTGCAGTCAGAGGGGTCCATCCTGCTCAGGAGGCCCAGAGGGCCCCGGGACAGGGAGGGCTGGACTGCAGACACCTTCCTCAGGAGTGGCCTATTGCCCGCCCACCCTGTTAGCTCAGCTTGGTTTTATTCTCCTCCAGGGGCCGATCAGGGACCTTATCACAAGACTTTCTTTTTTTGAGTTGGAGTCTCACTCTGTCGCCCAGGCTGGAGTGCAGTGGCACACTCATGGCCACCCCAGCGTTGACCCCAGCGTTGATCACTGGGCCCCGGTGATCCTTTAGCTTCAGCCTTCCAAGTGGTTGAAACTACAGGCACACACTACCACACCTGGCTAATTTTTTATTTATTGCGGAGACGAGGTCTCGCCAGGTTGCCGGGGCTGATCTCGAACCCACGGGCTCAGGCAATCCACCGGCCTTGGCCTCCCAAAGCGCTGGGGTGACAGGCTGAGCCACCAAGCCCAGCCATCATAAGACACTTCTAAGACCCCTCACTACATAGTCCTTCAAACAGTTTTCTAACAAGATCCAAAGCACCATTGCTGAGAAATGCAGGTTCCTGGAAAGTCCCTAATATTCTGCTACACTGTTGAGGTTATTACTAGCTGGTTGCAGTCTCTGGTCATCTTCAAGTAACCACACACACTCCTCAGACAGGTCCAAGCACAATGACTTCGGCATTCCCACACGATACGGCAATCCCGGCCAACGGTACAAAACCAAGTTTCTCTTGCTGTAGTCTGGGCTGCGGTATTAGAATTCTCACACACATCCATGTCTCTAACGTAATGTTAAGAGTCTCCAGGGTCGTTGTATGTGGATTCCAACGAGTCAGTGGATTTGATCAATGAGTGGTGACTTACTTTTCTAGGTTTTCGGCCTCCCTCACTGTGTTGCAATCGCCTGTGACGGCCGTGAGAGTCGTCCCTGGTTCAGGGGTCAACATTTACGCGCATGACATGTCTAACCCTCCTGTGCAACCTCCCTCTCTGCTTCCCCTGCTCCCAGCACAGCCCACAGCCCTCTGTGCAGGCCTCGCCCCTTCTCAAGGGTCAAATCACCCGGCCATCAGCAGTAACTCAAGAAACGACAGATGCTGGAGAGAATGCGGGGAAATGGGAACGCTTCTATGCTGTTGGTGGGAGTGTCAACTAGCACAACTTCTGGGGAAAACAGTGTGGCAGTTCCTAAAAGATCTAAAACTCTACCTTCCATATGACCCAGCTATCTCCTTTCTGGGAATATACCCGAAGGAGCTCAAATCATTCTACAGAACAAATGCCTGCACGTGCATGTTTATTGCAGCACTATTCACAACAGCAAAAACGTGGAGCCAACCAAGCTCCCCATCAAAAGTGGACAGGATAAAAAAATGTTCATATACACAATGGACTATTATGCAGCCGTGAAGAAGAACAAAATTATGGACTTTGCACCAACTTGGATGGTTTTAGAGTCTATAATACTCCCAGCACAGAAACAAAGAACTCAGTACCACATGATCTCACTCATAAGTGGACCCTGAACATTTATCATTATACTTTAAGAAACAAATTGGCAGTAACAAGAAGCTGCCAGGGAGGGGAGGTACATAACATCAGTAACGATACCTGATCTCAAACCAGACAAAGTGGGGACCAAAGACCCAAACTTTACCTGTATGATGACCACTTATGTATCTAATTCTGAATTGTACTCGAAATCTCTAAAACAAAAATTAAAAATATTAACAATAAAAATACCTAGTTGCATATTTTAGAATTCTAGGATTGTCAACTGCAGTTAAAGGTGTTACCAATCACTCGGAATTTCCAGAAAACTATAAGCTATAGTACCATAGTCATCTCCACTTATCCACGGAGAATATGTTCCAAGACCCCCAGTGGATGTCGAAAACTGCAAATAGTAGTGAACCGTATGTATACTATGTTTTTCCTTACACATACATACCTATGATAACGTTTGAGAGGCAGCACTGAATGTAACACAAATTCTGTTTCCTTCTTCACAGATGTCTTCTTTCATGGATAGAAGACCCATTCTTACCCTAGATCTTATTCTTTTCTTATTAAGTTGAGAACTTTCACCTTTTCACTTAAAGGAAGCACTTGACAGCTTCTCTTGGGCATAAACAAATTATGAGCATCAATAGTCTTGCGATTTGGGGTCATTTAAGTAAAATAAGAGTGACTTGATCACAAACACTGCCGTACCATGATGGTCCATCTGATAACAGAGACAGCTACTAAGTGATTAACATGGATACAGCATGGATGCATTGGACAGAGAGAATTCACATCGCAGGCCAGACAGAACAAGGACAATGTAAGATTTCATCATGTTCAAAATTTAAACTTATGAATTGTTTATTTTATTTCTAGAATTTTTCACTTAATATTTTCAGAGCACTGTTGGCCACAGATAACTGAAACTACCGAAAGTGAAATTGGAGATGAGGGACTACTGTATTCTAATCTTACTCTCTTCACCTGTTACCGTGATTCTCTGTCTGTTATCATCATTCTGTTCTATCTTTGACTTCACTGCAGAAAAGAATTTTAGAGCAAGTCAAAAGTAGCAAGGTAGAGCCTGGTTTGGTGGCTCATTCCTATAACCCCAGCACTTTGAGAGGCTGAGATGAAAGGATTGCCTGAGCCCACAGGTTTGAGACCAGCCTGGGCAACTTGGCGAGACCTCATCTCTACAATAAATTTAAAAATTGGCTGGGTGTGGTGTCGCGTGCCTGTAGTTCAGCTACTTGGAAGGGCTGAGACAAGAGGATCACCTGAACCCAGCAGGGCAAGACTGTGGTGGCTGTGAGCATGCCAGTGCACCCCAGCCTGGGCGACAGAGTGAGACTGCAACTCAAAAAGTAGCAAGATAGTGAGCGAGTTTATTAAAAGTAAAAGCAACAATAGTACACACTTCAGGATGAAGTGTGGGCGGACACAAGAAAGTGTCACTCAAGGGATCTTTGGCATGGGTTGTGTGAGCCACAATAATGAAGGGCTGAAATATTCTATTAATTTTTTGGTTGATTTTTCTAAGAGTTGGGTGGGCAATTTCTGGGATTGCGGTGTTACCAAATTTATTACACTAAATGGGCAGGGGTGGAACCATTGTGGTGCTGGAGGGCGTGTCATTTAGTATGCTAATAAGCGTTAATGAAGATAAAGGTCAAAGCAAGTCAACTTGGCTGTTTGTGCACTTGCCCAGGGGATTCCACGAGGGAGCCCTGCCAGGTGGTCAGCTCTCAGTCACAAACATCCTGAGTAGGCTGCAGCAGGTGTGTTGGGTGAGACTCAGTCTAATGGTTTTTTTGAACTGTCCAGCAGCCTTGAAATCGAAGAGTTTTCACAGGTTTCTGAATTTCCCTACAGCCCTGGGAGTTCCATACTCCAAACCCGCCTTACTCTATCACACCCATATTTATTTATTAGTAAATCCATAGACATTCAAACAAATAAATTAATGGACAAAAAAATCCATAAGTTAAAAATCCTGTACCCTAGCCTGGGCAACATACTGACACCTTGTCTCTACAAAATAAAAACAAATCAGCCAGGCACGGTGTCACACTGGTAGTCCCGGCTACTTGGGAGGCTAGGATGAAGGATCACCTGAGACCAGGAGTTCAAGGCTGTGGTGAGCCATGAAGATGCCAACATACTCCAGCCTGGGCCACAGAGTGAGACCCCCAATTCAAGACAAAATTTTGTGTCCTAAGCATGACTCTCCAGAGATCTGTACGTGTATAAGGGCTTTGTCCGTGCTACTGATTGCTAGTCTGAGATAAGTTCCTGTAATGTGGAACTAGTTGCTTTGGTATGAAGCGTTGCTATAGCCAGATTGCTCATTCTGTTACAACCGCTGGCTTGTTTTCTAAAATACCACACTGTTAACTATAGCAGCATTGTTCCCTTGGCCATGAGATAGAGACTCCTTGTCACCTACTGTAAGCAACGTTCTGGGCACTGAGGCCAAAGGAGGTCTGTGATGAGGAAGAATGCGACAGTCCTTGTAAAGCATCGCTATGGTCTGGATGTGTCCCCGAGACATAATGGTCAATGCGATAACGTGAAGTAAAGGATAATTATGTGTCCTTTGACACTGGTTAAAGAAGACATAACTACAGTTAGACAGGAAGAATACATTTCAAGAGCTCTATTGTACAGCAAGGTGACTACAGTTAACTCCTTTCTTTTATTTATTTATTTTTTTTTTTTTGAGATGGAGTCTCACTCTATCGCCCAGGCTGGAGCGCAGTGGCACATTCACGGCCCCTGCAGCCTCGACCTGCTGGGCTCAGGCGATTCTTCCTTCCGCCTCAGCCTTCCAAGGAGCTGCAACTATAGGCACATGCCACCACTCCTGGCTAATTTTTTTATTTCTAGTAGAGATGAGGTCTCGCCAAGTTGCCCAGGCTGGTTTCGAACCTGTGGCTCAGGCAATCCTCTCACCTCAACCTCCCAAAATGCTGGGATGATAGGAGTGAGCCACCGGGCCGGCCGTCAACTCCTTTCTTAAGGTCTTTAACCGTAAAGCGTAAAGACAGTTCAAGCAGCTGCAGTCAGACCGGCAGAACCTCCTCAAGGAAAGAGACACCCTGTTCACAAATGAGGTCCTGCAGCTCCCCACAGCGCCGTGCAAGGTGAGCTGGCTTGACTACTTGGCCCTCGGAAGGGAAAAACAGGGCCCAGAGGGAGCAGCAACATCTAACCAGGACATGAGAGAAGGGAACAAACGAACAGCAGAAGCTATGCAAGCACCCCTGAAATCTGCCAGCACACAAAAGGTAATGCAAGTGGGTGAAATGGCAGTGGGAAAAGAAGAAGAAAATAAGCATAAGCCCCTTCAAACTGCAGGTCAACAAGTGTCCTCCATCGAGGAAGAGAGCCCAGCTCATACAGGGAGAGGCCAAAGCAAAAGACGAAGGCATTAAAATGCTGTCACCCCATAGCCAAGTGGAGAGGTCTACGGCAAAGCCAACTCGAGGCCTCACACCCAGGTTTGACACAAGGGTCTTCCACAAGGGTCTTCTGTGCATGCCAGCAGCCAGTGTGGCTTCACGCCGTGTCAGGGAACGGCAGCCCTCTGGTCGGCAGCACAGGGATCTTCCTGGCTGTGCCAGTGGGTGGTGGGGGGAGCGTGCTGCCCTTGGCCAGTGACTTAAAGCGAATCCAGAGGCCTTGGGAGACATTAGAAGCTCTTGTCCAAAGCTGCAGACCCCCATGGAGCAGCCAGATTTGGCAGGATGGACCTCCGATGGACACTCTGGGGACACCGAAGAGACTTCTTCACCTTGGGCTGACTGCTGGTTTGAGTGTGACCTTCCAGAGCAGGGAGTGGCACTCCTCTGGGGAATCCAGGAAGGCGGAGCCAGGGTTCTTCACATCAGGCACGGCTGCTGTCCAGGCCTCCCAACCCAGGTGACTCTGGCCACTGCCTGTGGCCTCCAAGTGAAGGAAACTCCCTGTGGTCCTCCCAGTTGAGCCCTCCTCCCTGCTCCCACAGCGGCGGCCTTCTGCCTCCTGGAACTCAGCAACCTCGTCGCCCCACCCCGCCTGCCACGGAGGGGGCCTGGAAGAACTCCACGCTCTCAGGAAGAGGGCTCACTCACCCTCCTCGGAGAGCCCTGGCATCTGGCCTTTCCGCTCTGTGTGTTCTCGAGGCTGGGAGGTTAGGCCCCGAGAAGGGAGCACTCCAGGTCCTGAGAGGGCATGTCCAGGGGGCGAGGAGGGGAGCCAGACACCTCAGGCCTGGACGGCAGAGCAGGGCAGGTCGCAGCACTGACCACAGCCGCAGGACACGCATCTCCCCTCCCACCACGCTTCTCCTCTGCTTCCTCCTCCTGCTCCTTCTGGGGGGAGTTCTAGATGTCATTTTGGAGCCTTTCACCCGGTGGGAAGTGAACTTTTGAAGTCTCTGTCTGTTGGACCCACTGGTTCTTTACGAGCTGACTGGGGAACTGTGTTTTGTGTTCAGCCCTGTTTACCAAAGAACAGGTGTTGGTTCGAAGGCAGCTTTCATGTCTTGCTCCTCGCTTTATTAGGAGTAATTTGGAGTGGGGGACTGCAGGGCTTAGATTCGGTTCAGGTTTTAAGCGACTAAACACAGGGTAGCCATCTCTAAGCTATCCGCGGTCCAGTGGTCCCTGCCAGGTCCGTCCGCTCTGCAGAGAGCACTTTTTTCTGGCCGGATTTATCGGGGAGTGGGAGGGGGGTTGCCCGGCGACCTCCTCCTCCGCGTGTTCCGTCTGTCCCCGCGGCAGGGATTCATCACTCACAGTCAGCAGTGAGAACTTCATGCTCCAGCCAGCCACTCTGCCCCAAGGCATCTCAGGCTGTGTTCCAAGAACTTGGGAACTAGCGTTCTCATTTTCGGGCTTGGGGGCACCGTTTTCCCGGGTACAGTTCTGTGCTGTGCTTTGTGTGTCTGTCACATGGCCACTCTAGCAATTCAGTCTTGTTCAAGTTAAATTTAAGTTGTTTTATTTTTCATTTTCCTGAGACTTTCATACCTATTGTTTTCTTGAGTAAGGGTATTTCTAATCTGGTTTGCTCTCATCAGAGCTACTGAAAAGTACCTGCTTTCAATAAATTCTGGTTCAGTTGTGTTTTTTAATCAAAAAAAAAAATCATTAAGTCCTGAGAGTGGAATCCTTGTGGCAAGGATGAGAGTCCACACAGAAGGGCCTGAGGGAATGAGCTTGGCCCCCTGTTTGCCCTCCTGCCCCCTCAGCACCCCGTGGGCATGCAGCAGCATCGCACCATGTGGAACAAAGAGCCTTCCCCAGACACTGAGGGCTGGCACCTTGATCCTGGACTTCTCAGCCTTCAGAGCTATGAGAAATAATTTTATGCCTCACTTATTCATCAAAGGCATTTGTCATAGCAGCACAAAGGGACTAAGACAAGAGTATATCCAAATGAAAAAGATACATAATAAACATAATAACTAAGTAAGTTTGTGGAAGGGGAAGAACAATATGCATAAAATGATGGAGCATTTCTTACTAAACACAAATAACTAGCTCAAGCGAACCACAGACCTAAATGTAAGTGTTAGTGAACTCTTAGAAGAAAACACCAGAGTAAACCTTCACAGTCTTAGGCAAGGCAATAATATCTTAACTATGACATCAAAAGTACAAGTAGTAAAAGAGAAGATTGATACATTGGACTTTATCGAAATTAACAAATTTTGTGCCTCAAAGGACACCATCAAGAAAGTGAACAGACAATCCACGGTCAAGGAGAAAACACTGGCACATCATATATCTAATAAGGGGCATATATTCAGGACATATAAAAACACAACTCAGCCAGGCTTGGTGGCTCAGCCTGTAATCCCGCGCCTTTGGGAGGCTGAGGTGAGTGGATTGCCTGAGCCCACGGGTTCGAGACCCGCCTGGGCAGCGAGACCTCATCTCTACAATAAATCAAAAATCAGCTGGGTGTGATAGCACACACCTGTAATTCCGGCTACTCGGAAGGCTGAGGAGGAAGGATCGCCGGAGCCCGGCAGGTCGAGGCTGCGGTGGCCGGGAGCGGCCACTGCACTCCAGTCTGGGCGACAGAGTGAGACTCCCACTCAAAAAAAAAACAAACAAAAAAAACTGCACAAAACAAAGACACCTTTCCTGTCCCCTGAAAGACCCACACTCATCAATCTCGACAGTTAAAAAGAGTGGTAGTAGTTTTTATTCCCTATTTTCCATATTTATTTTTAGTGATGGAGAGCAAATTTTATGGCAGCAAGTGTTAATTCATTTCAGTGTTTGTAAACTTGAAGAGATACACTTATCTCTCAACTCAAAGTGTTTTTTACAATAAGCACATTCACAAGTTTATAGATGAAAAATTCAAGGGGTGGGTGGGAAATAGGGTTAGATTATCCTGCAGCCCAACAATACCATAAAGGATTCAAGTTCTAGCTTTCTTTTCCCTCATCCAGCATCCACTCCATCTGAAGGCTCCTTCCACTCATAGTTGTGGATTGACCGCCAGTAGCAATCAAGGTTCTATGCTTCCTTTATTCATGTAGATAAGAAAAAGCAGATCGTTCTCCTCCAGACTCCAAACAAAACTTTTCCCCTTCCTGATTGGGCCCATCATCGGCCATCTCTGTACCTGTAATTATTGCCAGGAAAATGCTTGGTGCTTATTGGCTTAAGCCTGGGTACACTCATCACTGTCAAAAGGGATGGGATGGCTATGATTGGCTTAGGCCAGGGACTGGCAAACTATGACTGCAGGCCCAATCCTGCTTGCCTGCTTTCAGGAAGTTGAATTAAAACATAGCCATGGTCGTGGTGGCGGTGTCTGTGAGTGTGCCACTGCACTCCAGCCAGGAGTGAGACTCCAACTAAAAAAAAAAAAAAAAGAATCATGTTCTTCTCTACATATTATCTATGGCTACTTTTGAACTACAATGGCAGAGTTCAATAGTTGCAACAAAGACCATAAAAGCCCCCAAAGTCTCAAATATTTACTATCTGGCCCTTTATAGAAAAAGTTTGCCAACTCCTGGCTTAAGTTAATGTGGTCCCACTTTGGAGCTGTGTTGGATTCTCTAAATTATGATTCTGTTACCTAGTGAGACAAAGTTTGAACTCAATGTGGATCTCTTCATGTGTCAACCTAAGGTTATTTTTCCTCTTGTTCTTTCCTAAGCACTGCTAAAAAAGAAACAAACACACCAGCTTCATTGTGAAAGTCTTTATTTTTAAAGCCCTTTGACTCATCCTCATTTCTCTCTACCAGATTGATTGATATCAGCTCCTGACATTGATCTGTGTTCCACCCATGGCTGTATGTCACTTGGCTGAACTGTCTTGAAGTTATTTTTTAATTTTATGAAACCAAACTACCCTAACTGTCTGC